TGATGGCTGATTTGTAAACGGCGAGTTAGTTAGTAGCATGGAGCTAATTGTCCAAATAAAATATAGGAACATTGCAGATAGTAACGTTATTCTAAATATGACTGTCAGTTATTTTACAGCGTTCAGTGTTTGTCACTGTTGGCGATGGATGATACAGGATACACTTACTTCACTATTAACAACAATTTAATCAAATATACATATTAAGCCTTTAAGTCTAAATATCCACTATATACACACATATAGATACACACACAGAAAAACACACACACACACACCTCATCATCCTTGTTGATTGTGCTCATCATCTTACTCTCCTTCTTCTTCAAGACGTCGAGTATCAGCTGCTTTTTGCTGGTTGCACCGTACAAGATTGGCTCCCACATCTTTAAATCTTCCAGGTCATACACCATATCCTACACACACACACACACACACACAAGCAGATACTGTATGTATCTATGTATTCATTCTTATTCTTACTCACAGATCTATTGACTCTATTGACTCTAACAGTGTGTTACGTCTGCAGTTGCTGGGACTCACAGCGCAGCCGTTCCTGCAGTCCTGCATGTTAACATAGTAGTTGAGATTGTTCCACACACTCTCGATGCCCAGGAAGTTGTCATCGTCAGTGGCGTAGCTTTTCCCAGTCAGAGGGTCGATGAAGAAGTTCTCCTGGACGCTGCGACTCCCTGACAGCACCAGCACCCAACAGTGCACTCGCAGTCCTCGCAGGGGGTCATCCGGCGACTGCCCGCTCTGTTAATGAAGAGAAAGAAGAGGTCAAAGGTAAAAGGAGGGCGAGTAGAGACAGAAGGGTACAATATCCAACTTTAAGCTTCATTTGAGGGACCTTTTGTTATTTTCATCAGTGAGAAGTTTCTGTGTTGTGTTGGTTTTACAGTGAAAAGATCATGTTACCTCCAGAAGTTTTTGTTTCTGAAGCAGCGCAGCTTCGGCGTCCTGTTTCTTCTTCTCTTGCTGCATCAAAAAGTGACTCTTCAGCTCCCTCAGAGGTTTCACTGTGTATTTATTGTCCTGCAACTCCTGCTCTGAGATCACACTCTGCAAACAACAGACACATTCATATCTGGGAGTCAAAGACCCGTCTGACTGGCTGTGGCCCTTCACTGTGAGAGCAGCGCTTACCTCGACCTCAGTGTCCAGCAGGGGGCACTCCTTCAGGCTCTGGTCGAGCAGACACATCTCTCTGACTGCGTAGCCGCTGACACAGTACGCGTCGTAGTGAGCGCCGAGCAGCAGGCTGCACAGCAGGGTGGCAAACTCAAAACACGTGGCTCTCTGAGTCTGCAGCACCGAGTTGGGGGAGAACAGGTAGCGGGGCTAGGACAGCAACACACACACCATCACTCACACACACTGGACAGAAGCTGCAGCTGTTTACAGATGTGCATGTGTATGTTCCAAGCTACCTTGTGTTCTCCATCGCACAATCTATTGTCTTATCGAGGGTTTCTTTCATCCACCTTTCTGTAAAGTTAAAACACGTTCCGGAGGTGTCATTTTAAAGGTTCGCTCCACTCGTCTTTCACATAAAGGTCAGTTTACCCGACATGAATTGAGCTAATCCGCCTGTGAAAACTGTTCATGTATAAATGCCGGTACTGTATATTGTCTTCTGTCACTTTACACACGGACGTCAGGCACTTCTGTATTCTTTAGCAGCGAGTTCTCTATATCGCAGCCTCTCCCCTCCAGAGACTGGTAGTTACTGTAACTTCAACATGATATGAATGTGGCATGATGAAAGAGACCCTCTCTGACCACCGAGCAAACACTAAACTATTTGGCTGCTGATACACAAGTGGATCAAATTATTATCTTTCTGACCAGGTCCGCAGGAGGGTCCAAAGGGTCCAGAGACAGGAAGTCAGCCACAAAGGAGGCACAGCCTTCCCAGTTGAAAAGGTCAGGGTAGATTGTGGGTGTGGGCCGAAGAGTCATAGACACAAACTTCTGAGGATCAGACGAAGATGCACAGCATGAGACAGAGACACAAACAGTATACAGACGGCGTGTCCAGTAGGTCGAGCGTTACCTTGACACCACATTCGTTGACCGGGCAGAGCAGCAGCGGTTTGCGGTCGGGATACAAGTGTGAATACTGACGCTGAAAGTTGTCTGCGATGGCCAACAGTCGGACCTCGTCGGGGGAGTTGACCCTGTAGGATTCAGGAGACAGCTCGTCTGGCTTGTCCAAGTTCCGGCTGGTGAGGGACAGCAGGTGAAGACAGTGAGTTATGATGGTCACACACTCTTTTTTTAACAAGATCTGTAGTTTTTATTGTCAGTGAGGTTTGTGCAACAGTATAAACCAGGAGTAGGAGTAGTGACACGTGGTCCAGCAACCAAACACTTTTTAAAATAAATCTCTTTTTAAAGAACCTTGAAAACTCAGACACAACCTGAACATCAACACATCTCAGTTCAAATAAATCTGTCGTCCATGTGATCGAATGTCGGAGGTCAAAGACTAATCAATTAAAGCTGGTGACGTTGTTAATATGAGAGAATGAATGAAAGGAATGAAGCATAAATCACTAATCCAAAGCAAGACTTAGAGCTACAATTAACCACTATTTTCATTTCCTATTAATCTGCCAAGTATTTAATAGATTATCAACATTGGTCATTTTCTTAAATTACACATTGTTTCAGCCCTAAATGTATTAAAAGCTATATTGAGCGCACAAATTTGTTGTTTTTAAGAATGATTTGTAAATTTAGGGCACAAGGCCTCTAAAAAGTATTTTAGTATATTTTAGGTAGTTTAGGTAGTTTAGGTATTGATAGTTTACTCAGACTTTACTTCACTTCTAATACATTTGAGGGCAATTATTGATCTTTGCACACTCGAGGCCGTCGGAGTTCACCGTCATTTCACTGTTGTTTCAGTCAGCGTTGCCGTATCTAGACTTCTGCTTGAGTAAAGAATGTGTGTGGCCTCTTTCAGCGTGTGTGTGTGTGTGTGGATGCTCACAGAAGCTCCTGAGTCCCCTCCAGCTTCATCAGCTCTCGGTCATCCTCCTCCTCCTCCTCTGTCTCTCCACGTCTGACTTGCTCCTCAAGGTGTGACTCCAGTACAGTCTCCATCCTGTATGAAAGTATTAAATATGTTAAATCCAGTTTACACACACACACACACACACACCATCCACACACACACACACTCAGAGAGTCGAGGTGAAAACTGTGTTTATGAAGATTTATACATTTAAAATACCTGAAAATGGTAAAATTGTTCTGTTTTTCTAGAATCCGCCCTGTGTTTTTATTTACATGCAGTTTTATATCTTTCACAGATATAAAACTGCTTTATATAATAACCTGTATATTACATTATTTAGTACACTGGGTATTAGAGGATGGGAATCAAGAGCCGGTTCCAAATAGTCCGATCCATTGGAAACCCAGTGACTCTGAGCAGGAAAAATAAAAGAATATATCTGCTATATATGTAAGGATATATATATATATATA